CTGCAGGCACAGTTCGACAGATGCGTGATTTCGAGTCCTTTGTGTTCGACCTATCCGTGTTGTACTGTATGTCTCTGGTATCACCACAAACTCTAGCCATCCATGTGCTTTGTACAGTATGTATTAAAAAAAAAAATCAAAGCCCCTTTCAATGCTGTAAGAAAGCAGATCATGCAAGACGCTGGGAATTTGTGTTTAATGTTCACCTCCAACGCCACCAAGCTAAGTTGGTGGACAGCCAATGATTGAAACTTTTAAAAAAAGTCAAGTTCATGGATGACAAATGTGGCATTGGAAGCAATGTCCTCCACACTTTAGTCTAGTGTAACACCAACTGAGCTAATACTAATAGTGCTCTCACATTCATATCATAGATGCTTCGACAGCAAAGTGAAGAGTGCATTGAAAATACTAGCCTATGCCTTACAAGCAAGTAAATCGGCGATGAAAAAGAACGAAATTACCAGCTTAAAATAAGGCACTTCTTCCTGTGCTGCTTCAGTTGTAAAAACTGTGCGACGACTGGCTTTTCTTACTCCAATTCTTTTATATTACAAATTCCTCACTTCCCTATTGTTGCTTATGGTCAACTTGAACAAATTCTGACAACACAGTTACAAGAAAAGATGAAATCTTCTATGGAATTTTAAAAATCCCACAGGCAACAGACGTCTTTCAGTACAAGCCACTGAAATTCTTTGACAGTGACACATGGTGACAAGAGAAGATGGAACCTTGAATATAAATTCCATAGGCAATATCTCCTTTAAGTACAAGCCATTGAAATTCTTTGGCTGAGAGATTCTTCTCTTGAACTTAATCAAATCCCACAGGCATTACCTCCCAATATTTGTACCTCGCCTAAGATAATAATTGTTTATATTACTGTTCATTTATATTACGCATGTGACTTTAAACCTGCGAGTGTGTGCATGTGTGTATGTGTGTGAGTGAGTGCGCGTGTGTGTATGTGGTGAAACACCAAACCAAAGTGCCAGGATCTGGACAATAAAGATGCATCTTATCTTATCTTATCTTATCATACAAGCCATTGAATCTTAAAAAAGAGGGAAAATTGTTGTACCGCCCGGCGCGAGCCAATCGAGTTCTTCCCCAACAGCAGGGGCTGAGGTGCGGACACAGACAGATCGCTACCACAGAATTACAAAGTTCTATCTGACATTTTTGGCCGTTTTGAGTTACTAAGACCATGATGTCAGAAAGCAAATATTCCCCATCTTTTCTACCAAAATCATAAGAATTTTCAAAATCGTTGTCAAGATATTCATAGGATAGCATTCGAAAAAGCTTGACATGTTGTGAAACTAAAAAAATTTTGACGTCAAATTCCTCACGAACTAGAATCTAGGTCTTGCACAGATAGAACTGTGTAACTCTGAGGTAGCGATGTATGCACACACCTGCCGTTAGATTAGATCAGTCTGGATCATCCGCGACCGACGCACGTTTACTTCAATTTAGTGAATTGCTAGTGATGCAACAGTTAAATTTCAGAAGAAAAACAAAAGCGTAACCAAAGCATATGCATGGATTCCATGAATACAATTAATATCAGGTTCCCCTGACAGAAAAAAAAAAAATCATTAAAACATGACAAAGTACCGTGGACTCACTCTACTCATGGGTATAAAGTCAAAAGAGTTTCCAAGGTTAAAAAAAAGCCCGAAGTACTTCAACCCGTTACACAACAAGAGAAAAATACCGTATACATACTCGCCTAGAACACGACCTTGTGTTTGACACAGATTGATGGTCCTCAATATGCGTGAAATCCAAGTACTATTCAGGCATCAATAAATATAGAACAATACCTTTAAGAAGTACCGTATCGTTTGTTGCATTGACTTTTATTTAATCTGTGAGGTTCATTGGAAAGTTTTTCTTTTTGGTACCATACAAGTTTCCCTATGTTGGGACTGATCCTGTTGGTATGTCACACATATAAAACGAAGATATACGTTCGGACCACATTTTAAAAAATTGCTCGTATTATAGGCGTATATATATACGGTTATGAGTTATACTCATTGCGTTATTAAGCAAAAATGATTAGTGAGATGGAAATAAAGGAATTCAGAGTCAGATGTCGAGGGGTCACTCACTGGAGGAGTCCAGACAGACTTGCGTTCTGACGTCAGCAATTTCCCCTCCCAATGCCATCACCATCGCTGTCTCACACCAGGTAGTCTTTCCTCTATCCCCACATCTCAGTCCTGGTAGCCAGTCAGTTTGAACGTCTTCTGCAGCTCCATTAGAAAGTACACCGTTCATGAAATCCTTCTTTTGTCAAGGCGTCATCCACTGAGATCAGAAACAAAAAACCCCCCAAAACAACCCCCCCCCCCAAAGGAAAGGTTGCCAGTGTAAATGTAAAAAAACCCAACCCATCTTGGCTCAGATCAGCACAGTCGTCCTTACTGCATCGCATTCCTTCCATAGATCTGCGTGTCCCACTCACTCAGCCAGGTCAAATGAAGAACGAATTCCTCACAGCTTGGAAATCCAAAGACTGGAAGCATCTCATTGCTCCACGTCATAAGTCTGTGCCCAAAATCTCTTCCAGCTAGATCTAGTCCGATCTTAATGCAAAAGCACACAAAAGTTCAGCATCACAAAGCACAAAGTATGACAGAATGAACAACGACCAGAAAAAATAATCTGATCCTGCACATAAATGAATGATTTGACATTATATTCCCCATGTTACGTCTCTATCTGTACCCGTCATCAAATATACCTTACCTGTCCGCGGGTCTAAACGTCATTTCCCTGACACCTGGAGACAAAGGCATGCTGTAGACTGCTCTTTTTTTCTCCTTTATTAGATGTAGGCATTTTTACAGGCCCCTACCAACATAATTTAGATCATTTAGAAGGTGGGCTTCCCACCTTGCCTGTCGGGGTCAACCTGGTCTGAGAGGGACACAACATCCCAGCACAAATATCGGTATACAATCGACAAGAATTTTCTCCCCTCTCTGATATGAAAATCCAGCCTCCTGCATACGACAACGAAGCGCCTAATCACTACCTCACAGACTGCTCCTGACTACAGGCATGTCACTGAGAATTCACTACTTACAGCTGTTCCCTTATTGAATATTCTGATTGTGATATATGTACATTACTGTCAGCTTTACTTTTCTTTTCATATTGAATT